TTTATTTATTTATTTATTTATTTATTTATTTATTTATTTATTTATTTATTTATTTATTGTAGCCTGTGCAGCTGTTGCATGACTCTCCCTACGTTTTGCAAATGTTTTCCCTTTCAGCTAAAGGAAAGTCAAGGGCAGGGTTAATGAGTGTCACAAAACCGTGACAACATATGTGATAAAAGCCCATCAGCACTGTAAAATCTCTGTGGATTAGCTATTGATATTCAGTCAAGTAGAAATACATTTTTAGACACATTTCTGAATTCATAGCCCAGCAGAATCCCTGAAAGCAGACGTGTGACTATCTTAATTAAGGAGTCCTTTGATGGATGTGTTGCTGTTTTGAATAAGAATCTCTCCTGGTGTTCCCAGAATAAAGTCTTTATCACATTCACAAAGTGTGACAGGTTTCAGAACCATCCACTGCTTGTTTGTCTGGTTTCCAATCATTAAACTGTCTCTTCTTCCTCATGCATCTGCTCAGGTGCTGAAGGAGCGTGATGGCATGAAGGAAGAATGCAAACCTCCAGTTTTGGTAAAGATTGCTCCGGACCTCACTGCCCAGGACAAACAAGACATAGCTGATGTTGTTACCGAGGTATTGAACTTGATTTTATGCGTGTGTAAACCTGTGTGTGCGGGTTTAATTCAATATGACAAAAAGAAGAACGTACACTTCAGATTCTCCTTTTTTTTAAGGGTTATCATATTTGTACTTAGTTGCTCCTTGACAACGGAAAAAGAAATGCATGCAAATGTCATGCTGACGACGGCTCAGACGGGGCTATTGACTTCAGCCTTCCACGTCACATGTTCTCATGCAAACTGTACACACCCTTTGCAAAGGTGCTGCTCCCTCCTACAGCGCTCAAGGGACGTTTTCAGGTGCCTTCAAGATTTCGAGAGTAAATATCAGCAGCAGCACCAATTAATAGTTCTTGAAATACAACATCAGAGATGTTGAATGAAAAATACGGACTGAAAATCTTCAAAGATAAACAAAACTGATTGACTAAGAAAAATTAATTATATTATAGATAAATGTATTTGTGACCTGAATGAAGGGTTTTTGAAAGAGGTTTAAAAATTCCATAAACTTCAACACGCACTAAACTAATACCAAAGTGGCACTACAACATGTGGCTTACTTTCCTTTTCTTATACCTCTGTATATTCTGTGTTTGCAGCTGGGAGTCGATGGTTTGATGGTGTCGAACACCACTGTGTCCAGGCCAGAGTCTCTTCAGGACTCACAGAAGTCTGAGGCTGGTGGTCTGAGTGGCCAGCCTCTCAAAGAACTCTCCACTAACACAGTCAGGGACATGTACAACCTCACCAGAGGTGCGTACCTATTTATTTAACATATTTGGTAAATTTATTTTCCAAAATAATCAACGTAGTATATTTGAAAGAAACCTACTGTACATTTGTCTTTTAAAGGGAAAGTGCCAATTATTGGAATCGGGGGTGTGGCCAGTGGGCAGGATGCGATGGATAAGATCCGTGCTGGGGCTTCCCTGGTGCAGCTCTACAGCGCTTTAACATTTCAGGGCCCACCTGTGGTGACAAAGATAAAGCGAGAATTGGAACAGCTTCTGAAGTGAGTATCAGCACTGAAAAGGCACGGACTATAGTCTGCTCTGCGCATGTGAGCATGAGCGGCTCTGCGTGGACTCACTCTCTGAACAGGAAGTGTAGAGATGGGGAGTTGCAGGAAACAAAACTCACAAAATGTTTTCTTGTTTTGCACATTTTTGAGGAATTCTTGATGGATTTCATTGTTTTGTTCTTTTAAAAAGATTGCTGATATTTTTTTCAACACAGAAACATATGAAATTACTAAAGTTTTTTAAGCATTCCAGCTTTGCAACACACTATGCAAATATGTGAAATGTACAAGGAATCAACTATCATTAGTTTCTCACCACGCCTTTTATTATAGCTTTTCATTAATTTTTAAACTTTAGCAGTTCAGCACATAACTTTTATTTGAAATAATAATTACAATAATTTCGAACAATATCTAATTTTATTAGTGAGCGGTTGAGAGACAAATCACGTCAATCCATAAAGATGACAGCACAGATGTATCAGGAGGAAAAAAAACTCTTACTTGTCTCATTTTGTTAGATGTACTTGTATAGTTTGTTTTCCTTAGTTTTGGTGTATTGAGCTGTGTCAGTTACATTATTCTTAACAACTTATAAGTAATTTCAAATATCTTGTTCATCAACTGTTATCCTTGCACGTGTTGATCATTTGCTTGTTTTTCTGTGCAGGGATCAAGGTTTCAGCTGTGTGTCAGAGGCTGTAGGAGCAGATCACAGGGAAGTGGACGGGAAGTGTTAACACTGACACTTGGGGCTTGGCGGCGTCTACATTTGTAAAACTATTGTCAGCTTTGACTGAACTGTAATGGATTCTGAGTAATTGTGATTGCCCATTTGTTAAGTCTGATTGCAAAGGAGGCAGATATATTGATGGTCGGACCTCTGTAGGACTGCAAAAATCTTTTCATCTACAGTGGTTAGAAGCTGAAGTCTCCAGCTGACTTCAGTTATTTGTTTTTTGTTACAGTGTAACAGCAGCTATTATTTCTCAAGTGCTGACACCAACGTGCTTGAACTCGATTTTACAAATGTACACAGTTTGTTTGCTTGTAAATCTATGTATCTATCTGAATCTATGATGATGTTGTGAAATTAAAATAGCAGTACCTGTCTTCACTGGTAAATACACTCCTATTACCAAAAATATATTACCCAAAAGTATCTTGTGGTCATGTTGTCCGTGGAAATTTTGGATGAAAAGGGGTTGAATATGCTGCTCTAAAGATGTTTTTATCAGTTTCCTTGCACAACTTGCTGTCAATTACTCTGATATGTAATGATCACATAGATAAATTATCCATTTATATTTCATTAAAAACTGTCAGGACGTATACAACAACTTTTATTAATTGGATACACTGCAATGTGATAACTGTAATTAATTTGTTTCTTTATTTTAGTTATTTAAATGTGGAGCACCTATGAGGAAAATAGACTTGAACATCCACAAACCCTTTTAACTTGGAGAAGAAATCAACATTTTTCAATGACAGTTATTTCCCACAGTCTTAAAGGAAAATAAACAGGAAAGACATGCCTCTGTCTGATTATTATTAATCTATGGAAGAAGTATGAGTTCTGATTAAAGTGATTTTCAGTGTTGGATGGAATGACAGCACAGAAGGCCCTTTAAGTCATAACAGTTTGGTATCATGGCCTCACACTGGAGCCAACAGCTGCTTTTCTGAGATATTGTGAGATTTTTGTAATTCATTGACACATTGAAATGCCTTCCCAGCCTATCAAAATATGCCAGGAATAGACAAAGGTTATTAGCCATTACTTGTGAAGACATCAGTTCTATGAGGAGCAGCTGTGAGCTCCCAAGTGCTTCTCAGCTCCCCGAGGCTAAGTCCAGAATGACATTTATCTCATATATGATGTCAAAGGGGGAAGAAGGGCCTGCTGACAAACCAAACTTTCTGGACCGATGCTCACCTACATGTATCTGTTCAGATAACTGATCACACCTTTTTGCCACTCTGATGCTGATAGGCTTTGCTCATTTTCAAGCCTGACAGCTAATGGGACTAGGTAGGTCTGTCATAGCATCTTGAAAAAGCAATGATAAGAAAGATCAGAGCATGTAAGATAGGTATGAGGATACAGACGCTGTACTTGGCCAATCGTTTGGAGACGAGAACTACATGAGATTATCAGTAGCTTTAGGCCACTGAAAGCTGGGCTTCTCCTTGAAACTATTTTCAGGCATGTCAACAGCTGCACTATGTTGCAGGGGAGGCTTGGATGGATCATAGACGCTTGAATAAAGTGGGGGGAAAAAGAAAATGCAAAGTAGAGACTTTAAAAAAAAAAGGAAACCAACATAAGCCTGTCAGATACCTAAGATCAATAAAGGCTTTTAAGCATAGCTGCAAACAGAGGAGATATTAACATTTGAGTAACTTCAGAGTAAGAAGATTAAAGCCCAGATGAAGCCCATGTTAGGGCTCCCACTTAACTCCCCCTGTAGACGCTTATCAAACACTAGAAAAGCTCCTCCTTGTTCATCAAAATGAAATATTCATAGGTTTTTTTTTTTCCTTCCATGAAACAGTGCTGCATGCCTAAAGTGACTTGGATGCAACTCTACACTTATACATTATTTAACATGGATGGATTTGTGAAAACACAAATTAGCTGTGGCTCCATCTCAGCTGCTCAGCTGGAGCTCTGCTCAGAAGCTGCCAGCGTGTTTACAAAAGAAGAGCATATACGCACATAGCTTTTTACCTGAATTCCTGACCATTATCGAGCTGATATCACTGGCTAGATATTGCTTTAGATAAATCAATGTTCAAATTGTGGCATGGTGCCTTCTGTGTGCACTGATGATCTTGTTGCACTGAGGAGTGCAACAAGCAGTTTTTTTTTATTTCAAAAGCTGATGATCAAAGCTATTTGTGCAATGCAGTCAGTCATTCTGTAGACTGCTGCTTTGCATTCAGATGTAGGATTCAACCTTTGTGAGTGCACAGCAGAATGAATAAATCCAAAAACAATTATGCAGTTTGGAAACTCTTAAGGAAGTTTCAGACTTAATTTCAATGTGTATTTTTAAAATGTGTTTTTGAAGATGTTTGAATGTAGAAATAAAAATAAAACAGTGTTTAGTGTCGCAATTTACAGCAATTTGCTATTTACATTAATCTGGGACACAGTTGAATCTGAGGGCATTTGCAACGTGTACATTCGAAAAACATCCTTTAAAAAATATCCTTTTTGAACATTGTTGATGTGTTTTAGGGAGATTCCTCATGGAAAAACAAAATCTGAATATGGAGTAATGTCATCAGGCCTTTAATCTTTAGTATTTAATTATTTTAGAGAAGCGTATGAGACATTTTACATTGGATTCACTCTGGAGGCGTGGCAGAGTAGATCTGCAGGTTGTAAATAATTACACAAAATGCTAAAAAAAAACAAAAAAAGCGGTAAAAACATATAAATGGACAGTAAGGCGGATGCCAAGCAGATGGGATTATGTAACCGTGAGTGCTGCAGGTGTGGTCTGAGGTGCTCCTTTGCCTGAAGGAGGAGGAATGGCAGCTGCGAGCCTGTCAGCTCAGGTCAGCTAAAGAGGTATGAATGTTCTTCCTGAGTCTTCTTGGTGACGTAATGTTGTTTGTGGTAAGTTCTCTCCACCCAAAAGTTAGCATGACCTAACAAAACTGGAAGAGTTGCGAGATTTAAAATTGAAAATTTATCTGAGGAGTGCAACAAGCAGTTTATTTTTATTTTTTTATTTTTTATTTATTGTTCATCACCTAAATAGTGACTAAATTCTGTTCCTCTAAATTGTAAGCAGCTAGAGAAGTCTCCAGAAAACAGAACATTCTAACTTTTGTTGACATGCAACAAAAATGTGTTGGTTTTGTACTATTTCTGCTCATGTTTGGCTTGAATATTGCTTTGGTATTAACTTATTTACCGCAATACCCAGAAGCAACAGTAGATTATCAAAATCTGGAACCTGAAGACTGTAATTCATTCAATCCCGCATCAAAAAAGCTGTTTTATGTTTTTGTCTCTTTAATGTGAAACAGAATCAGCAGTTATTAATGCTGTGGGCCATGCTGAGTTAGGGAATAACAGGGCAACTCCTCGATGGATTAAAAGTTACATAAAAGCCTAAGTAAACAGTAAAAAACTAAGTTTACAGTAAAACACTTTAACAGAACAACTTTTTTTACTTTGCATGCAATAGATATGGGAATATCTTTCTGAATACTATAAAACACATTTTTTGTTTGAAATTTGACAAGATATTAATATTGGTGAAATGTGACAACTTTAGAATGAATGTATTTTGAAAATCTACTGCTTTTTGACAGTAGAGATTTTGTCCAAGAGTTCCTTCAACTTTTGCATTTTAGTGCATTTGTGTCAACCCATTTAGTATTAATAATTCATCACTCAAAGAAGTCAAGTATATGCACTTGGTTTGTGGTGTAGTTTTACAAAACCAACTTTAAGTTCAACTGGTTTATCCAACTGCCTTTTCATTTGGATAAAATAGTTTTTTATGGTACAGTATATATATATATAGTACATATAGTATAGACAAAACAGCTGAGGAATGACATTTTACATATCTAATATTACAAAGCACTCTTTTCCATTCAGTAATTTTTTCTAAACTTTTGGATGCTTGATACTGAAATAAGATTAGCTGTTATTGCTTCTTACTCATATATTTTTGGGCTTTTCTCCATTAATTTAATCAGACAAAGACATGCAGGTTAAACAAAAAAAGATTAAAAAACCCAAAAGAGAAAATAAAAGACTTGTACAGCACAGTGACAAAAGAGTGACTCTATGTCAGTGCGTGCTGTATTGTAACTCCACAGTGGGAACCAGTGTCACCACACCCTGCTCATCTTTTATACATGACTGCACTCCAGGCAAACAAGACCTGGAGCGCACGCAGAAAACTGTCTTAAAACATTGACAATTATTATTTTTTAAATTTAAGGTGGATAGGCAGAACGTTAAATATCTGTATCCGTTCATGTAGACCAAACAAATATGTTAACCATATAATCCCATATGTTTTCATATTTGATACAAACGGTTTCTGACATGTTTTGCATCTGAGACCTTTTGCATAATTTATTTGGTTAAAAACATTTGCTCATAACCCTGTTGTACACAATCAGATATACCTGACAATAGCAGGCAGAGGACTAAGTGACAGTAATTTGGACTTAATGCATGGATAAATTGTGATTATTCCAAAAACATATCTGTTATTTTTTTTCCATACTTTGTCAAAGGGCCAAATAAAGACTATGGTCAAAGAAAACATCATATATTCTTTTTTTTGGATCAGACTTTAAAGGGTTAAGGAATAGGTCTGGTCAATTCCGTCCAGAACCTGGCAGAGAGCTGCATGTGTGCAGCACCATGTGACTGACGTGTGTCCGCAGAAGGCTGTTTCCAGGAGCTGCTGATGCCTCTGGCTACAGGAAGTCACAGGTGTGATGAAGGCAGGCATAGTCATAAGCCACACAACACCCTGCCCAAAACAATTAACTCTGATTGGCATACTGGACAAAACCATAGACAGACAGTCAGAGCCATTTCATCTAGTTTTACTAGATTAAAAGAGAAATCAATATTTTATATCTATGCATGTCAAGCGTAGACATTTTACATGAATCACGCTATTATTTTTTAATATATGGTCAGGAATTTTCTATTTACAAGCTAGTTCTAATAAAGCTGTAATTTTCAACATGTTTTTCTAAATGCTAGAGGAATTAATTAACATCAGAATGTGTTTGTTTTTTGTCCGTAGATCTTATGGAAAATTCTGTATACCGGTATTTTAGACCAAATCCATAACATGGATTAGTAAAAAAAAAAAGAAGGGAAATCACAATGTCATATTTAATCTAAATGGTTTAAAAATAATCAGACTGTTACATTGTTACATTAAATACCACTGGAATTTAAAGTTGTAATTGGTTTTAAACGTAGTTCAATTGTATTTTGTTCTTTTTACACTTAGTAGGTCATGCTCCTATTTTTAACATTGTCTTACAGTTATCTCGACGCAGTTCGAAACTTCCCTTTAGTGTGGTGAGTAACAGACGCACAAGGGACTTCAACTCTCAGCCGCCCAAGACAGTCTGAAACAAGCAGGCTGACATCAGAAGTAACTGCTGCTAACCATCAGTTAGACAGTTAACTCCAGTGTCTCAAACACGCATATGTCATAAAACTAAGAGAAAAACCAACACATCTGTACACAAATGTAACTGGCAGCACTGTTTCACTTTAATAGCAACACAGTCATTCTTACTATTGTCTATTAGGAATGGTTTTAGTTTTAGTTTGAATAGATAGGACAAGTGATGAATTCTTGGAGTTTGCAATGCGCATCTCACTGAAAAACGGATCCCTTCAAGAGTATAAACTGCAATGTTATCCAAGCACTCTCTGCAAACAGGGTAAAAACCCTGTGATAAATTTTAAAGCAGCAGCCTCTCTGCATGAGGGGCGGCTGCAGTGATAGAAACACTC